AAATACGCAGAGCAGGGCATTTTTAGGGCAGCAAAACTATTCTGCGTGATACTGTAACGGTGAACACGTGACACTGTGTGTCTGTCAAAACCCACAGGAGTACAACACACAGAGTGAAGCCCAATGTGAACTACGGGCTTCAGTTAGTAACAGTGTATCTACGTGGGCTCATCATGTAACAAATGCACCACAGGAATGCAAGGTGTTAACAACAGGGGAAACCGTGTGCAGGGGCAAGAGGGAGCCTACGGAAGCTTTCAGGGCTTTCTGCACAATTTCTCTGTAGACCTAAACTGCTTTAAAAAATAAACCATATTTTAAAAAAATACATACAGGAGGAGCAACACTGGCCACCTCGGTCAGGGGCAGGACTAACAGACATGGGTGTAGGTTAACATTCTCAGGGTTAAAAAGTAACAACGATAAAATTAAAATAAATAAATAAATAAGGGGAGGGGCTGAGAACGGAGGAAATGTAACAGGTACCTGCCATAAGAGGTCTCAGGTGCTCTCACTGTGCCGTTCACAGCAGCCCTGAAACGCCTAATGGGACCGGAAGCTGCATTCACTCACTCAACAAACCCTTCCTGGGTGATCACTGTGTCCTGTCAGGACTGCACTGAGGGCTGAATACCCAAACATACAAAAGCCACAGTCCCTACTCCCAAGGAAGTGAAAATTAATGGCCGATGCTCAAGCGGAATAAAAACTAAAAGACCGCAAAGAAGCAGAGTACATTTACAAAGCAAGCAACACGGACCCTCTAAAGCTGAGAAAAGCGCATCACAGCCTGCATCAGAGGGGCAGCTGTCCAGGGGCCTTCCCCGCCCCCACCCCAGCAGGTCTCTGCCCGGGCAGACTCTTGCTCCCTTCAGTTAGTAATACATTGACAAAACATTTACCAGGTCATGATGTGCAGGCAGCGCGAAGCCTATCCAGGAGGCCAGGCAGACTGGGCAGGGGGCTGGCCGCGCCGTGCCTGAAGACTCTGCAGTCCACTGGCCTGGCCTCGCCCCACCGCCGTGCGTAGTGTGGGGGTCGGAGTCTGGCCCCAGTGCCCACACTGCAGTCTCTCTGGGCAGTGCTGAACCCATCCCTGGGCATGAAGCGAGTCCCCTTCCACAGAGCGCTCGCTGACGGGAGGCTGCAAAGGAGTAAAAGGTTTCCCAACACTCAGTAGACCCTAACCAAAAAGCCCCTTGCCTTCCTCAAAGAGAAACAAGTCAACCTCTAGAGGGATGGACCAAAAACATCATCGGGCCAAACACCTCCATGTTTGCTCCACCGCCATCCCTACCATGCTCCCCTTGAATTGCATACGCCTCAAATACCGAATTAATCTGCCCTACAGAGGTGGCACAGTGGTTAAGTGCTCAGTGGCACAGTGGTTAAGTGCTTGGTTGCTAACTGCAAGGTGGGCAGTTTGAACCCACCAGCCACTCTGCGAGAGAAAGATGTGACAGTCTGCTTCTATAAAGATTACAGCCTTGGAAACTCTATGGGGCAGTTCTACTCTGTCCTATAGGGTCACTATGTGTCAGAATTGACCTGACGGCAAGGGGTTTGGTTTTGGGTACAGAGAGACCTGCT